AATGATTTCATCCATATTTAGATGTCTATGTTCTACTTTAATTTTCTTTTGCTAACTGCAGTGTATCTGGGAATTGAAATGCCAACCAATATTTGTGGAAGGCATCATTATAAGAAAAGGTATATTGAGCTATATGGTCCACAATGCCACAACTTAATAATGCTCCCAAGCCTGACATATATGTTTCTACTATATTATTTCAGTGACATAATTGTGAACTGACAAATAAGTTAACTATTTTCCCTTCTACCTCTAGATATAGTAAATATATATTCACCTTTCCGCATCCCATTTAAAAACTAAAAAGGCTGTTGATAAAAAACGTAGGGAAGTAAGGAAACTTAGATCCAAAGATATCATACAACACTCTAGATTGTCCAACAGTGTCATAGTGACTGTTACACTTGTATTTTCCATGAGTTTAGGCTTTTCCAATATGTAAAAATTTCAAATAATTCTACTGAATCATATCAAGTATATTATATTATTATTATTATAAAGTTAATTTATACTGATGGTCTACTATTCTGGTCTTAATACTTAGAAATGAATCTACTACTAAGTAAGTACATAAAAAATAATAGTTACTTAATATATACCAGGTAATGTGTTATTCTGAGAAAAAGTTCTTAGTGATTAGAGAGGTATCGAGGTCCTGTATTTTGAAATTAGGGGCAAAGTTTGACAAGATAACCTTAAGTGAACCTGATTTACTTTGATTTTCTGAACTTTCAAAATTCATTTACTATACAAGACACATATAGACACACTATTTATGATAATTACTAGTTTTGAATCAATTAAAGCCTACATACGCATCATTTATTCTTACATTGAAAATTTGCAGCAAACTGTGTTTCTCTTTTATATATTTCAGTGTAATCTAGTAACCATATTTTCTGACTTGAATGTAGAAACACTGAATCTTAGATCTGAAAAACTGTCCCATTTCCGAAGCAGAAACACTGTTAATATAGTTTGTAAATAATGTAATAATACACTATTATCATTTATATTAGAAAATTCGATTACTAGAATACATTAAAATATGATCAAACTGAAAAATACAAAATCAAAATAGCAAAATAATATTAAATTCAAGTAAAATACTGCTCCTATGTCACCAAATTAAATGCAGCAACATTTCAAATCCTACCAAATCTTACTTGTTTATGTATTATAATTACATCATAATTACAAACATAAAGAAAAAGTTGGTTAATTATAATCGCACCATTACAGAAACAAAAATTACAAAATTGAAAAAAAAAATGCAAGTGTAAGCAGTTATTTTAGCTTGGAAGAAAAGCTATGTGCCCAAGTTATACATCTTACAGAAGTTAATTGAGAATAGATTATTGGACCAGTGGACTTTATATAATACTTATAGCTGTATTATTCGGACTACTTTTAAAACTTCATAATTGATCTACATTACATAGCAAAGATTTTATACCTACTAAGTATATAACTGTTTTTAGTTTTGAGATTGATACGAAGATGAAAAAGATATAGTTTCTGTATATTGATTCTATTATCATATCTTAGTTATATTTGTTATCTTTGTTATAAAATATTTAATCACTATATGAAAAATATAAATAAGTTAGTATAGTGTCTGGTGCACAATAAAGGCTTAATTAATGGCTGCTATGACTGAATGGAGGTTATGTGGTAAGGTGAAGGAATAGGTAGTATATTATAGATAATCAAATATGCTAGAGTTACCATGTACAGTTTACAAATATTATCAATTTTCAAAGAATTGGAAAGCTACTTCTTTTAACCTGAAGCCAAATTGAATCAACTTTAAATTTTCTCTTTTATCTAGAACGCATGCCAGGATTTTAGTGTCATTACTGTAGATATGATTCTGCTATGGATTTTGTAGAGGGGCTAATTTATATAGCTTTATACTTGATGAATACTAGGAATTAGTAAAAATTTACTGTGATTAGACAAATGTTTCCACTTGAATCTGGACAATACCAATACACAGTCCAAGAAGGAAAAATATTCTTTTGTCTTCTCCAAATCACTCAAAGAAATTAGAGACTACTGGTTAAAGTTGCTCTACCTGTTAGAGGCCGTTGGTGGCTGTTAGTGAAAAAATATTCAGTTTTCATATATAAAAAGGACTATGATTTAACAAATCAAAGAAAAGTTACCCTAAAAATAGAGATAAAGGTATTTGCCTATTTATTTTGGCCCTTGTTTCCAATCATGCCACCATTGGAGATCATGCAAATGACAGTAAATCCCAATATGTAACAAATCTACCTGTATGGAATCAGAAAAGTTATTTCTGCTTTATCTGCTAAACCACATTTCCCTTCTGAAAGTAAGACACAGATTCAATGCCTGGTATGGTATACCCTAAGACTTTACAGACTAGTATAGTGTATATTTTATTTTTTTAAATATCAGGCAGTTAAAAAAAACCATTTATTTGTTATACATATATTAAAACATTGCCACTTCTAGATAATATTTTCCCCAATAAAGAAATTCTCGTTTCCAGTGTCTATATCAGCAAAGACTTGCTATCTGCTTGGATATGCATATTTTAATGTACAATGCTATGTCTAAGCATTTAATCTTATGTGAACCACATGTTTTTATCCTGTTATACGTATATGTACTTCTATTAGGTTTCTTTGATTATTTAATTTGTACTTTCTAATTATAAATTGAATTTTATGGCATAAGTTATTTAGAATCTGTGTCACTTGTATTCCTATGAAAAAATTTATTTTTTAGGTTATAAGCCCAAAAACGGCAAAAGATTTAAATCGACTCTGTGGAAATAGTAACTTAAAAAAAAACCAACCCACCATCTATTTGTTTTTTGTTTTCAAATATTGCTTCTAAACTACAGGGTGACCAATTATAATGGTTCTTTTAGTTTAGAATAGTAGGAAGAGAAGAGAAGAGAAGAGATAGTGCAGAAACCTATGTGGTTAATTAATGATGTTCATCAGCTCCAGTGGTAAAATACAGCCGCTATTAGGGCCTAAAGTTATTCAAAGGAGAAGTCCTAGTTGACATTATGTGAGTCCTTTATTTTTACCCCCTCACCCCCAAAATAAGATCCAATGTGTGTGTGTGTGTGTGTGTGTGTGTGTGTGGGAGAGAGAGCGAGAGAGAGAGAGCGAGAGACCGCCCACTCAGACGAGAGTCTGCTCCTTGATGGCACAGCTTGCATCTCCTAGGCTAGCATCTTCAGCATTTATTCAGCAGCAAATTTTATCTCTGTTTCATGAGTGAGGGAGTCAGCTGTCTGGGAGAGAGAGAGAGAGAGAGAGAGAGAGAGACTGGGATACTTTTTTCTCTGGGTGCAATATTTTTTTCACTAGAGAATCTCCTTAGTTTGTACGGTGATAAACATGATATCTTAGATCTGGTTTTCAGAATACTCATTTTATAGTGTGTATATAAGAAAGGTGTCACATGGAGGAAAAAAAAACCATATCTTTCATTAAAATATAAATTCAACTTAAAAGGAAATCAACTTAAAAGGTGAGGCATGTTTTCTTTGAGACACTATGACTGTAACTTTGTATCTATAACTACACACATTATGGTAAATTTCTCAATATTCCCTCATAAAAACTGAAACAATGTTTGAACAATTACAGTGTTGAGTTCCATTTCATGGTTTCTCTAGAGAACTAAAGCAAATTAGCTCAAGAATCAGTATTTCTACACTCTCCTTCTTTTGGCTTTAAGTGGCTTTTGAAGGGAGTATCCCCAGATGAGAAACTTCTAACACTCCTGCAGAGATGACCTGCTTGAAGAACTGGCTGCCTGATTAACTATTAACTGCTCTCAATAGGATTAGATAATTAAGGACATTGATGACCATTAATTAGGAGGAGGGCACATTAATTTGTCACTGGATAGGGCCCTTACAATGATTTATAGGTTAGTGCTACTTGCAAATGTGAGGGGAAAGAGAAAAAGAGAGAGAACCATTAAGTTACCTTATCAAGTGGCCAGCTAAAGAGGGCAGAGGGTCAAAAAAGGGCCAAAGTGGTCACTTAAGGGTGAAGTCCCAAACACCAAAGCAGTGCCAAGCCACATTGACCATCATTTGGTGATGAAGTAAAAAATATGCTAATTTATTGGTGGCAATTCTCTCTTTTTATGGTTTCAAGCAGTTAAGACAAGTGGCCTGCTTAAGAGCTTTTCATTTGAAAAGAGATTAAACAAAATGGTTTGTCAGGGCTGCTTGGCTGTTTTATGTCTTTGTTAAAAAAAAAATTGCACTGACTATACTGATAACTATCACATCACCCAAAAGCCATCTCTCTCTAAGCATTTATTTCGTTAATAAATATATCAACCCTAATTGCTTAATAGTGCTATGTTCATTTGCTCTTTAGCAAGATTAAGTTGAAATAAATCTTTTGTACTACCACTTTCTGTCACTATTGCTTGCATAAAGGTCACAAAAAAAGTTTAAGTTTTGTAGAAAATTTACTTAAAGACATTGATGTAAATTTGATGTAAATTACAGTACTTTGTTTTATTCAGCATGGAAAACAGAAAGGTGATTTCACTACTAGTAAAAAACTGCTTTTAGAATGCAGATAAGGATCCTCTGTTTTTAGTTATACCCAATTGTGGGTAGCATTCACATTCCACACACAAATAAGCACAGCTCATTAACATTTAATTAAATATGCCTTTGAAAGCCTTGGAAATATGCACGTCATACCCGTCATGTAAGTTTGGAGCTTACTTTTAAATGACATTTAAGACATAATCATTTTGTCTATACTCTAATAATATCCCATTAAAATAAAAAAAAAAATAAGATAGTCTAAAAAAATTATCTTGTTACACCAAAAGAACTTAAAAATATTTAGCATGAAACATCTAAGAATGTCATTAAAGTAAAAGAATATATACACACACCACACACACACACACACGCACACACAGAGATGCTATTATTTACCTCAAGACTGAACTAAAATATAAAAATTCTCTCTTACCTCAATGGTGAATAGCTTCCTTTTTAATTTAAAAGCTAAGTCTTTGACATCTGATACATCACAAATCAAGTTATTAAGCCGAGGAATCTGCCGTATATGAATCAAACCTTTTGGAAATGAAATTAAAAGAAAAAAAATTAAAACTGCTGTCATTGGATGCATAAATTAAGGAGCCTTAGAGCAGAATCCTGTAAATTTACACACAGGCATCCTCCCCTTTAAAACTGGAGCTTACTACCAGGAGCAATGAAGCAAATGGTGTGATTATACTCAAGTAATCAAGCAGAATAAGATAAACAGAAATCCTTGTGCGAGGAAAACTAATTGCACTTCGGTACAGAAGTACAGATGTAAAGAGGGATCTTAATACTTGTCAAAACTACAGCCGGTTTGTGTGTGATTTTCTCTTGTATTTACAGTAAGCAAATATGGCTATCACCTTGCATGCTGCCCACGGCACCACTGAGTGATCTTTATTTTATTAAATGCACCAGTAAGCAGCCAGCAAAACAAGGCTTATGGGTTACTGATAACCAGTGAAGCACTAATGAAAAGTATTTCATTTTGTACCTTATTAATGACTTGAACAAACCATTGAAGAAAACTACATTTTAGAGAACACTCCAGGATCAAAACATTAACCCCTATGCCATCGTAAGACACTCATTTCTGTGGCATGTTAGACCTTTATGTAGCTGCTATAAGCTTTGTAACAGTGCTAGGTAAACCGTGAGCTTTGGCCTCTTGTCAGTAGAAACACTTGCTAATTTTTTCTGACAAGGGCACTGGATGGCTTTTGTGCAGCTTAATGCAGTTTCTGACTGAACTAGGGGTCATTTGCCACAGATGAAGAAATGGAAGATTCTTCAGTGCGTCTCTCTGCCTGACCCAGTCCATATTTAAAAATCACCATCCAAAGACACTGATCCCTAAAAATCCAGATTTGAACAAATTAGATAAATTTTATCTATAGAACTATTTCTCTAGTATATAGTTTTGTCTGTGCTTGAATGCTTAGCAACATATGTATTTGTTTTAGCTTAAAAGGGTAAACCTCCAGGTGTTTAAGTTTAGATATGGTCCCTTCAAAAATAATTCACTAAAATATTTGACTTACTTTTTTAAACTTAAAAGAATGCAAAAGGTATTATTAAGAAAACAGCTCTCAGATACAAATTAAAAATGTCATGTGGAGCTATTTAGTAAAATATTTTAGAAATAAGAACACATACTTTCATTTGCACATTTCTCATTTTAACCCTGCATGTGCTTGTTTAGCTAACTATTAAATCAGAAGGCCTTATAGAATGAATGAATGATTCATCAGGTCCTTATTAATAGAAACTTAACTGGTCACCAGAACCACCTATTAATCTGTGGAGAATAATTTATCCACTCAGAGATTTCAGTACAAAAATTATAACCTTTCAATCCTTAAAATGTTTTAATCAAATTAATTTTTTAGAACATAAAGTAGGAGCATTTGATATCTTGTTCCTCAAAAAATGTCATCAGTTTATCACCAATAAACACTTATAAAAATTCTCAAAAAAATATTTTACTAAATTTACAAGGTCATAATACTTACAAAATTATACTGATATAATTTATTATGTTAATAGTTAACTTGAGTTGTTTTGGAAAGAAGAAAGAAATAATAATAAGTTAAAGAAATAGTTTATCCAGTTGTAAGTCCTGGGGATATAATGTACAGCCTGGTGACTATAGTTAATAATACTGTATTGTATATTTGAAAGTTGCTAAGAGAGTGAATCTTACAAGTTCCCGTCACAAGAAAACAGATTTGTAACTGTATGTGGTGATGACTGTTAATTAAACTTATTGTGGTAATCATTTCTTAATATATATATCTCTCAAATCATTATGTTGTTGTTTACCTAGAGCTAATACAACGTTACATGTCGATTATAGCTCAATTAAAAAAAATAAATCGTTTAATCTCAATAGCTCTCTTCCTATGATAATGACAATAATATATTAAAAGAATTGTATATAGGGTCGATCTGGGCATATATCATATGCACACTTAGCAAGGAAATGATCATGAGGCAAATTATTTTATGTAGCTTTTGTTCACAGCTTATGATTTTATAGGCTCTTAAACAATACTCAATAGTTAGATTGTGCTATATTATTTTTTAAAGGTTGTATGCTGACTCTCAAAGTAGTGGCAATTATCATGTAAAGTATCTTATTATCTTTTTTTTGCAGACTCTAGAAATTGCCACAGTCCTACAATCACAATCTTATACAATCTTGTAACAGGCTTCAAAAAAGCTACTCAGTGTTCAGAATAGAGGTTTTCACGTCAGTATAGTAGTTCCACGATAATAATAGCATTAATCATTAATATTTACTCAGAAAAAGTAAACAGGCAAAAATCTGTTATTCATCATACTCTATATTCAGTTTAGAGCTCAGATATACATAATTACCTTTTCTATTGCAATAGTTTTATGTAAGAACCTTTATAAAAAATCCTCAAATTAACCAAAAGACTGAAATACTGTTAAAAGCTTCAAAAAATATAAGCTAAAAAGCCTGATTAACTGACCTGTGTTTATACTATTGTGGTGATATTTTAAAATTTGTTCAAAACTCAACCTAACAACAAAATGAGTAGACTGAGAAAAGTCCAAATATAATCATAGATGTTTACTTTCTGAAATGTGCTTGACTAGGACTAGGATAATATAGCATAAATTTTATTTTTAATTTATCATACAGCTAAACTTTGTAAACTATAAACTGTTATATGTTGTTATTAAAATTAATATATTTATTTCAACATGGCTAATAAGTACGACATTTTCATGGCAACTTTAGGCCACTTGGACAACAAAATGTACATCTGACTGAGCCATGACTTTTTACTTGGGTGTGACTCTTTCAGACAGTTACCATAGTCTATTCTATAGTCTTAATGTACTTTGGTGACAAGTTGCCATGGAAGACTGGCCAGGAATAGAAAACATTTAACTGATATATTATAAAATAAAATTCATGCTACTTGGCAGTAGATATTATGACTGGACAAGATGCTTCCAGGTAATCTAGAAGCAACTGGGACATGCTCTCCTCAAAGGTGCTGCTTACCGTGATAATCCTTATATAATGGGTTGGTTTCTCTCTCAGAACCAATAAACGACTCCAGATGAACTACTGTATCTGACAAGTTGGTAATCCGAGCAATAATTGCTTTATTCTATAAAACAAGTAAACAAAACACTCATGTTATATTTAAAAATATAGCATCTATACAGTGCCATAATGCCATCTCAATGACAAATTGCAGAAGAAACAGACCATCAACACAGTGAGAGAAATGACTTAAAAGTTAAAGCTATCACAGGCCAAAAATTGGATGAAAATATGCCCTTAATTGAAAATTCTAACTCACATAGGTATGCTTTTTTAATTTGAAGAGCTGAGGGGACATACCTTAGTTTTAGTAGAAAATATAATTATTTTTCTTTGTCTTAAGGGGCAAGGTACTTTTATGCTCATATACTATTATTTTTCAAATTACTTTGCCCATTGGCCATTAGAAAATCTGATAGACACCAGGATTCTGGAGTAGATAGTACAGTAAAATGTGTAAGGCAAGGTCGCACCGCCATCTGTCAACTGGGACCAGGTCTCAGCCCTGTAACAGCTGAGGTCCTCTATACTATATTAGAAACAAGGAAGGGTCCAGCTAAGAGGCTGCAGACTGGCTAGCTCTGGAGTCTACTGTTTTCCCTTTCCAGATGCCGCTATTTGGTTCTGGGGTAACGATAAAGGCAAAGAAAAGGTGGTAGGTAACTAGCATGAAACTGGTAGCCAGCCTATCCTTTACTTCCCAACACAATCTGATATGAACCAAAAATATTGCTAAACAGTACATCTTTAAAAAGTCACATTTTAAAGTAGTAAAAGTTCTAAAATATCAGAATTTCATGGCTTAAAATACAATCATTAAATAATTTTGTAGATTTTCTTGAGTTATTTTATTTAATGGAAATTCAGTATTCCTTTTAGTCCCTGACAGGATGGTAGGTCAGAAAATTGGTTTATATGCTATAACATTTTAGAAAATATTTTGTTTTGAAGATCTAGGTAAGTTGAAAAAAATTTTGTAAAATTTTATAATTTCAAAACTCCCATTTTATATTCAGGTAATGCCCACTAGTTTAAAATTAATCTTTAAAAAAAGGATGAAAAATGTAAAACAGTCAAGAAAACTTATTAGTCTGATGTTATGTCCCATTAGAGAAAAGTCCAAATATAATAAAAAATGTTCACTTTCTGAAAATGTGATTAATTACTAAGCTTACTGGTATTCCTCTGTTTCTTAAGTCCTCTTGTAAAGATTGTATAAGAGAGAAAAATAAAAGAGGGCTGGTCAATGTTACTTGACTTGGTATGAAATACGAAATAGCTTCTGTCACTAAACATTATGCTGAAATGACTGGTTAACTCACACCTAATGCAGTATTTGAAATTCACCCATAAGTAGAAATATGTGTTATATAAAGAATGGTTTCAGCCTTTGAATCAGTGCTCTTAACAGGAACCAGTAAAAATAATTATTCTTCATTGTCTTCAATACTTTCTACCACGTGAGCACCCAGTATAGCAAAACTAACATAATTTGGAAATGCCTATTTTTTCTAAGGCAATTTTTCATTCAATGGTGAGAAAATAATCCAGATTGATTCTTTACTTTAATTTCTGTGCCACAGGGGATGGTCCTACTCCAGGAATAACAGGGGCTTCAGAAGCCATAAACATGTTCCTCTCAATATTTCTTTAGCCAAAGACCATTATATCAAACTCATCCAGGTTGGGTTTCAGCCAGTTATTCTTCACCCAAACAAAAATGTCTGCCAGACATTCCAACAGCTGGGAGACAGTTCACAATGAGTCAACTTGAAAATGATTCATTGTGCTGAGTACTGAACAATGTTGGGGTGGGGGTGGGGTGTGGCTGGGTTGGTTGTAGAGGGTGAGAACAAGTGGGAGATGAAGAATAACCATGTGGTTCTCCCATTAAGAAGAATCTTAGATAACAACCAGCAGGCTCTTATCATTTCATTTTTAGGACAAACTCAACTGAGACGAGTACTCTTTTCATGGACCGTCAGATGAACAAGCACTTAGAAAGGCTACTGACAATATTTCTTAATCAAAAAGGTCAGATTTCCTTTTATCTATAAATAGAAAACTAGCCTTTGTACCTAAATATCTGATTCTAAAATGATAAAAGTCAATTTTTGTTAGAACTCAAATATGTAGGATTTCAGTGGTAAAAATTAGGGTTTTCTCAATTCTATGAATAATAGAAACTGTAAGGTTTAAAAGTGGGGTTAGCTTTCTACTCTAGTGGTAGATAAGCAAAATCCTGTGTAGTTAAATGGTCAACTTGACATTTCTTTATTTCAAAGAGGGTTTCTTTCCTTAATGTAAACTTAAAATCTGCTGGTAACCCATTTAACACCTTGTGACATTTATCAACATTACAGGTCTTTTTAAGGTAGTTTAAGGTAGTTTGTAGTTAAGGTAATTTCTATTTTGCAGAGAAAAAAACTAGTGAATTGCAAATATAAAAGATGTGTATAACCTAGATTTCAAATCTCAGAAACTCATACATATATGTCATTTATTATATTTCTAAGTTCCATAGGTTTACATCATTGATATTAAGGACAAACTAAATTTTATTTTAAAAGCTTTTATAAAGTATTAGAATAAAAATAAACTTTTATCATACTATTAACATAAAATGTTATTTTTAACAGTGACTTCTTTTCTGCACAGTTTTGAAAAATAATTTATGTAATGTGGCAAACTGATTAATTGTGAAAGTTGTAAAGATGTCTGAAAAATGTCTGTAAAATAGAAAGCACTGGAAATTACACACCATCTAAGTTTCTGACTGAGATACCTTTGTTTTAAGTAAAAACTCATATAATCTTTCAATTATTTCTAAAAGTATATGAGATTTTTGGGTATGTAAGTGTACATATTTTTTTAAAAAGTTAAAATAGTGTTACAGATTACTTCTGTACCTCCAAGATTCAAAGAGAGTATGGTCTGTCGATGTGATCAAACCTTAAAAACCACTCTAGTCAAAGGTCTTTCAAATCATAATACAAATATTAACTGGTCTTTTAGATAAAGATAGATAAATTTACTTGAAAGAATCTAAAATTAATGGTCATTAAAAAAATCCTTAAAAGAATAATGATTACAATTCACTTTAGGAGGAACACACTTTGGACAATAAACTGCCATAATATAACCCACAGTGTTCAGAAAGCTTTATTTAACATAATGATCTGAGCAGAGGCCTTGACACTGGAACTTCCACATTTTCATCCTAACAGATTCTAAGTGTTTTTATGTTATTAGCGAAGATATAAAACCTCTTTGGCCTACAGTATATGTAGTTGACAATGGAAAAGTAAAGGTACTTGTTTGTCAATTACCTAACATAAATTTAAACATAATTTTTTTCGTTACTTTTGAAGTTGTTACATTACAGTTTCCAGTAAGAAACGTTTGAATAAGGACATTCAAGATTCACCAGTATGAGTAAATTAATGATTATACTGCATGCATGGCATAATGACATCACCCAAATATATACAACAATACTGCCACTCCTCCTCTTTGCCCATCTGGATGTGAAAATCTAGGATGGCTCAAAAATCCTTCTTATACTAGACAAATATCCCTTCACTCCTGGGTGAAAGTTGTCAGCTCTGGATAGTAGCCAAGACATGACTAGGAGGGAAGCCAGAAGAGAAGAGAGCCAGTGTCCAGGAGTTTTAAGAGTTTGCTGGCAGTCTCAAATAGCATTGTATTAAGTTACATAAAAGGCTCTTAAAACTTTCTGTTGCAGTATAATTTCTTAATTAATTATTTAAGTTTAAATTTTATCAAATGCTGTTGCAAACAAAAGAGCTAACCGAATTGTCCAGTTGTATACCTTCATACTCCAATTTCACAAAAAAACTTGGGTTTTTGTTTTGATTGTTCCTTGTTTGGTTTCATAGAATATTTCCTGTTTGCTTTTATAGAATGGTAACCTCTTTTTATTAGTATACACCAAATCCATTAGATGGACTTTAAATAAAGGAAGATTAATTTAATGCTCCCTTCTAATTCAAAGCTCATAAAACGAAAACTATAAACTTTGCTAAGAGATAAAAATTCAACTACTGCCAAATAAAGTTCCCTCTGCTTTTTAATATAAATAGTTCAGATACCTATTTAGAGTAACCAAGTAACAATGAGAATACCTCAAATCCTGAACTTTCTTAAACCTAATTATCTCAACAATATAAAAAATATAGTTTGTACCAATACAAAATATATTTCCTGGAAAAAATTTAACAAGAGAATTAAAAGGTAATTAACCAATCACTCTATTATCGAGAAGCTTGAAAGGAATAAACCAATTGACATAAAGCGTTTATGCAATGCCTCAAATAAGAGTTAGTTCTTGGGTTATTCAAATAGGAAAGACACCAAACAAATATGAAGGGTAGAGGACAAACATCAGATCACTTCAGATTTGGGACTACATAGTATAAAAGCACTATTAAGCTAATGTTGAAAAATTAAAGAAATATTTAAGTTGCTTTATGTTCGACTCTACTACATGACATGACGTATGTGTGTGTATACTCAACAACTCAAGTTATAACATTTTTCTGAAAAATGACATGCATAAAAACAAGATCATACTAGAAGTATGATCTCTTTGTAATGTAATAAAAAAATAAACTTGGGTAAAATAATAAATCTAGAGGTATTTAATGAGGTATTTGTTTTTCCATGCTTAAGGTCTTTATCCTATAGAAATCAAGACTATGAAATAATAAAATTGTTTATATTGTTTGTAGTTTTTTACAAACCTTCCTTTTCCTTCGCTGGAGTTGTCACTTACTTCTGTGGATTAAATTTTAATTTTATTTCAAAAAACTGATAGTACGGAAAATAATTCTGTTCATAATATTTTAAGAAAGAATATAATTTATCAAATAAAATTATACTAATAAATATTTATACTACTACTACTATTACTACCCTAAGGAAGGTATTAATTAAATCTGTCCAGATTTAACACTGAACTTTATTCAGTCACACACAGTTAATTTTAAAATATATAGGAACTTTTTATAAATTTAAAAAATCCTGACTGTAACACTCTCTTGG